GAAAATTAGCAGTAATAAATTCAAATCTCATTTGAACTTAAAATAGAAGATATCATGCTTGAAAGTGTATTGGTTCATAAAAATATCTGAAACATTTGAAATTTGAAATTAATAGTTTCCGAGATTTCAACATATAATGTATGGAAAGCAATTTTGAATGAAATAGAGCCTAAATTTAAGGTTTACATTGATAAGGAAGCAATTTTGTAGTTGTAAGTTTGGAAAGAATTCAAGTATCATTTTCATTCAATTCCTACATTTAATTTCCTAATATAACGGATTGATTTCTTGTTTGATCAAGGTGACGTAAGCAAATTGATCTAAGGGTGTAAAACCTATACAGAAAACACAATCAACGATCCAATTGTTTTAGATGATTTCATATGGTTTCTCTTTTAATAGTATTTAAAGATTTGTTTTACGTGGAAATTATGACATAATGTTTGTGTAAATCGATTATTAAAAAGGTTTGAAATATATATAGAAGTCAATATGAAGAAAATTAGCAAGTAATCAATTGAAATCTCATTTAAACTTAAAATAGAAGATATCATACTTGAAAGTGTATTGGTTCATAAAAATATCCGAAACTTTTGAAATTAGAAATTAATAGTTTCCGAGATTTCAACATATAATGTATTTGAAACAATTTTAATGGAAATAGAGCCTAAATTTAAGGTTTACATTAATAAGGAACCAATTTTGTAGTTGTAAGTTTGGAAAGAATTCAAATATCATTTTCATTCAATTCCTACATTTAATTTCCTAATATAACGGATTGACTTCTTGTTTGATCAAGGTAACGTATGCAAATTGATGTAAGGGTGTAAAACCTATAAAGAAAACATAATCAACGATCTTGATTGTTTTAGATGATGTCATATGGTTTCTCTTTTAATAATATTTAGAGATTTGTTTTCTACGTGGAAATTATGACATAATGTTTGTTTAAATCGATTAATGAAAATGTTTGAAATATATATATACAAGTCAATATGATGATAATTAACATGTAATAAATTGAAATCTCATTTAAACTTAAAATAGAAGATATCAGGCTTGAAAGTGTACTGGTTCATAAAAATATCGAAACTTTTGAAATTTGAATTAATAGTTTCCAAGATTTCAACATATAATGTATTTAGAAAGCAATTTTGAATGGAAATAGAGCCTAAATTCAAAGTTTACATTAATAAGGAACCAATTTTGTAGTTGTAAGTTTGGAAAGAATTCAAGTATCATTTTCATTAAATTCCTACATTTAATTTCCTAATATAACGGATTGACTTCTTGTTTGATCAAGGTGACGTAAGCAAATTGATCTAAGGGTGTAAAACCTATAAAGAAACTAAATCAACGATCCAGATTATTTTAGATGATGTCATACAGTTTCTCTTTTAATAATATTTAGAGATTTGTTTTCTACGTGGGAATTATGACATAATGTTTGTGTAAATCGATTATTAAAAAGGTTTGAAATATATAGTAGTCAATATGATGAAAATTAGCAGGTAATCAATTGAAATCTCATTTGAACTTAAAATAGAAGATAGCATGCTTGAAAGTGTATTGGTTCATAAACATATCCGTAACTTTTGAAATTTGAAATTAATAGTTTCCGAGATTTCAACATATAATGTATTTGGAAAGAAATTTTGAATGCAAATAGAGCCTAAATTTAAGGTTTACATTAATAAGGAACCAATTTTGTAGTTGTAAGTTTGGAAAGAATTCAAATATCATTTTTATTCAATTTCTACATTTAATTTCATAATATAACGTATTGACTTCTTGTTTGATCATGGTGACGTAAGCAAATTGATCAAAGGGTGTAAAAACTATAAAGAAAACGCAATCAATGATCCAGATTGTTTTAGATGATGTCATAACGTTTGACTTTTAATAATATTTAGATATTTGTTTTCTACATCTCAATTATGACATAATGTTTGTGTAAATCGATTATTAAAAAGGTTTGAAATATATATATACAACTCAATATGATGAAAATTACGAGGTAATCAATTGAAATCTTATTTAAACTTAAAATACAAGATATCATGCATGAAAGTGTATTGGTTCATAAAAATATCCGAAACTTTTGAATTTTGAAATTAATAGTTTCCGAGATTTCAACATATAATGTATTTGGGAAGAAATTTTGAATGGAAATAGAGCCTAAATTCAATGTTTACGTTAATAAGGAACCAATTTTCTAGTTGTAAGTTTGGAAAGAATTCAAGTATCATTTTCATTTAATTTCCTAATATAACGGATTGATTTCTTGTTTGATCAAGGTGACATATTCAAATTTATCTAACGGTGGAAAACCTATAAAGAAAACACAATCAATGATCCAGATTGTTTTAGATCATGTCATAAGGTTTTTCTTTTTATAATATTTAGAGATTTGTTTTCTACGTGGGAATTATGACATAATGTTTGTGTAAATCGATTATTAGTAGGTAATCAATTGAAATCTCATTAGGACTTAAAATAGAAGATATCATGCTTGAAAGTGTACTGTTTCATAAAAATATCTGAAACTTTTGAAATTTGAAATTAATAGTTTCCAAGATTTAGACATATAATGTATTTGGGAAGCAATTTTGAATGGAAATAGAGCCTAAATTTAAGGTTTACATTAATAAGGAACCAATTTTGTAGTTGTAAGTTTGGAAACAATTCAACTATCATTTTCATTCAATTCCTACATTTAATTTCCTAATATAACGGATTGACTTGTTTTTTGATCAAGGTGACGTAACCAAATTGATTTAAGGGTGTAAAACCTATAAATAAAACACAATTAACGATCCAATTTGTTTTAGATGATGACATATGCTTTCTATTTTAATAATATTTAGAGATCTGTTTTCTACGTGGAAATTATGACATAATGTTTGTGTAAATCGATTATTAAAATGGTTTGAAATATATATACAAGTCAATATGATGAAAATTAGCAGGTAATCAATTGAAATCTCATATAAACTTAAAATAGAGGATATCATGCGTGAAAGTGTATTGGTTCATAAAAATATCCGAAACTTTTGAAATTTGAAATTAATAGTTTCCGAGATTTCAACATATATTGTATTTGGAAAGTAATTTTGAATGGAAATAGAGCCTAAATTTAAGGTTTACATTACTAAGGAACAAATTTTGTAGGTGTAAGTTTGGAAAGAATTCAAATATCATTTTCATTCAATTCCTACATTTAATTACCTAATATAACGGATTAACTTCTTGTTTGATCAAGGTAACGTATGCAAATTGATGTAAGGGTGTAAAACCTATAGAGAAAACATAATCAACGATCTAGATTGTTTTAGATGATGTCATATGGTTTCTCTTTTAATAATATTTAGAGATTTGTTTTCTACGTGGAAATTATGACATAATGTTTGTTTAAATCGATTAATGAAAATGTTTGAAATATATATATACAAGTCAATATGATGATAATTAACATGTAATAAATTGAAATCTCATTTAAACTTAAAATAGAAGATATCAGCTTGAAAGTGTATGGTTCATAAAAATATCGAAACTTTTGAAATTTGAAATTAATAGTTTCCAGATTTCAACATATAATGTATTTAGAAAGCAATTTTGAATGGAAATAGAGCCTAAATTTAAGGTTTACATTAATAAGGAACCAATTTTGTAGTTGTAAGTTTGGAAAGAATTCAAGTATCATTTTCATTAAATTCCTACATTTAATTTCCTAATATAACGGATTGACTTCTTGTTTGATCAAGGTGACGTAAGCAAATTGATCTAAGGGTGTAAAACCTATAAAGAAACTAAATCAACGATCCAGATTATTTTAGATGATGTCATACAGTTTCTCTTTTAATAATATTTAGAGATTTGTTTTCTACGTGGGAATTATGACATAATGTTTGTGTAAATCGATTATTAAAAAGGTTTGAAATATATAGTAGTCAATATGATGAAAATTAGCAGGTAATCAATTGAAATCTCATTTGAACTTAAAATAGAAGATAACATGCTTGAAAGTGTATTGGTTCATAAACATATCCGTAACTTTTGAAATTTGAAATTAATAGTTTCCGAGATTTCAACATATAATGTATTTGGAAAGAAATTTTGAATGGAAATAGAGCCTAAATTTAAGGTTTACATTAATAAGGAACCAATTTTGTAGTTCTAAGTTTGGAAAGAACTCAAATAGCATTTTCATTCAATTCTTACATTTAATTTTCTAATATAACGGATTGACTTGTTATTTTATCAAGGTGACGTAAGCAAATTGATCTGTGGGTGTGAAATCTATAAAGAAAACGCAATCAACATTCCAGATTGTTTTAGATGATGTCATAACGTTTGACTTTTAATAATATTTAGATATTTGTTTTCTACATCTCAATTATGACATAATGTTTGTGTAAATCGATTATTAAAAAGGTTTGAAATATATATATACAAGTCAATATGATGAAAATTACGAGGTAATCAATTGAAATCTTATTTAAACTTAAAATACAAGATATCATGCATGAAAGTGTATTGGTTCATAAAAATATCCGAAACTTTTGAATTTTGAAATTAATAGTTTCCGAGATTTCAACATATAATGTATTTGGGAAGAAATTTTGAATGGAAATAGAGCCTAAATTCAATGTTTACGTTAATAAGGAACCAATTTTGTAGTTGTAAGTTTGGAAAAAAAATCAAGTATGATTTTAATTCAATTCCTACATTTGATTTCTTAATATAACGGATTGACTTGTTGTTTGATCAAGCTGACGTAAGCAAATTGATTTAAGAGTGTAAAACTTATAAAGAAACCACAATGATCCAAATTTTGATTTAAGAGTGTAAAACTTATAAAAAAACCACAATGATCCAAATTGTTTTAGATGATGTGTATGGTTCCCTTTTAATAATATTTAAATATGTAAAAATAATCAAATAAAATATCTAAAATATTCACAATCAAAATATATACCTAAAGTAGTTTTTCCTTTTGGCGGAAATGCGTTGATTGAGTGAGAAAATATGGACCATATTCAGCAACTACCATCATATGCTTGTTATAAACCGGAAGGTCTAAACTAATCATCTTCTCGAAGATATCGACTTCAAACGAAATCGGATAACATGACGACGGCGGCAGCGGCGGAGAGCAGTACTAAAACTAGAAATTCCAGATGGTCTCTCGCCAGCGTGACTGCTCTCGTCACCGGCGGCACACGTGGGATCGGCTACGCTGTGGTGGAGGAATTGGCGGAGTTAGGGGCGGCAGTACACACCTACTCTCGCAACGAGGCTGAGCTCAACCACCGCTTACAAGAATGGTCTTCCAAGGGCTTCACCGTCACTGGATCCGTCTGCGACGCAACTTCTCGACCTCAACGCCAACAGCTTCTAGAAAAAGTCTCCACTATCTTCAATGGAAAGCTCAACATTCTAGTAAGTTCTTTTGTGTTTATTTCACCGATAAATTAGGGAATTCTTCAATACATCAAGTTTCATCTTATTTTGCAGGAATTCCTAATCTTCTGAAACGAACGCATTCGTTATTCATTCTAGTGGTACTAGTTGTATTCTTACAAATGATTATACAAACTTCGAAACTGTAGATAAACAATGTTGGGACGAACATAGCGAAACCTAGTTTAGAGTATACTACAGAAGAGTATTCCCTGATCATGGCTACCAATTTGGAATCCTGTTACCATATCTCTCAACTTTCACATCCTCTTTTAAAAGCTTCTGGATTTGGAAGCATTGTGTTCATTTCCTCTGTTGCAGGTTCTGTTCATGTTAATTACACATCTATCTACGGACCCACTAAAGGTATATGGTTTTGTGTTCCTGATCGTTGTATTTGGTGTTACAAGAAATTTTAAGCTTCCATTTTCTGTTCATAGCTGCTATGAATCAACTTGCTAAGAATTTAGCTTGCGAATGGGCGAAAGATAACATTCGGAGTAATAGTGTAGCTCCAGGGTGCACTAGAACTCCACTTGTTGAACCTGTAATACACCTCAATCCTACCCTTCTTTATATTTATTCTATTTAACCCATTAAATGTTATGATTTTAATCAACCAATAAGCAAATTTTGTGTAGTTGCTAAGTAATGAGGAGTTTTTGGGTACAATGGTATCAAGAATACCTTTGAAACGCATTGCTGAAGCTAATGAAGTGTCATCAATGGTGGCGTTCCTTTGTATGCCTGCTGCTTCTTACATCACTGGTCAGACAATTCTTGTTGATGGAGGATTTTCTGTTAATGGTTTCCCGTGACTTGCAAAAATGCTCAAGGAGTTTCTCTTTTGATTAGTATTGATCTTTCTTTGTTTAAAAATTAGTGGTGAGTATCAAAAATAGATGATGTAAGTTATGATATATGATGAATCTATGATTGTACAAAACTCGTATTATCTCTCTCGGATTATAACAAGGTATTGAATGTTGAGCATCAATGGAAGAATTCGTGAAGTAAATTAGAGTGAACCGCAAAAATAGTGTGGTTGGTTAACTAGTCATGTGATGTATATAGTTCCTCATTGGTTTTAACATATTTATTTAAATCTGCAACTTAGACCATTTTTTAACTTATGTTGTAAAAAATGATGTTAATAGAATTTCAATCTCCAACCCGTATCATTTATTTTTGTAAAGTTGTTAAAATCGGAATCTTATATAAGATCTTTTTCTACTTTGCAATATCGTGATTGTAAGATTCAACCAAAAACATTTTAAAACATAAAAAATATTGTAACACTGTATATTTGCAAACAAAAAAATTCATTTTCAAAACCACATAATTCTCAATATCACATTTCAAAACCACAATGTCAAATTATCAAAAACACAAAATCATAAATTGTTTGATAAAATCCAGGATCCCCAAAAACACTAACTCCATCTCGTGTGTACAATAAAGTCGGTATCTTCCCGTGTTCATGAGAAGTATCTGAAACACATAACACATAACACGGTAAACATACAGCTTAGTGAGTTCCCCAAAATACCACACACATCTCATTAGTCTTTCATGGCGATATCTCAATGAAGACCCGTCGGTCAATAAGTCTCAGTGGAGACCCTCCGATCCCACAACTCGGGTTGGACCCTCCGGTCCTAACTCAATAAGCTCAACATAATATACAACATAAATCACAAGGACATAATGCAGGATATCATAATACTCAATATAAGCATACAAGACCCTCCGATCACACAAAGTTACCACTCAAGGTAAGTATAGTGAGAAAACTCACCTCGTAAGCAAGCAGATAAACCCCGTACCCCTCGAACGGTCTAATCCCCACCTACATGTCATAATCATCTCTAATTAACACTTATACCCAAAACTCTAAATAAATTTAGTTAACCTTTCTCTCTCTCTAACTCTTGGAATGGGTAAAAGACCATTTTACCACTCCATGGTCTCCATAATCCATGTCTTGACCAAACCCTAAAAGTCAACAGAAGTCAACACTCGAGTCAACAATCCATGTTGACCCAACTCGTCGAGTGCATCTATGCGACTCGTCGAGTTTCTTCGTTTTCCTCAGAATATCGTGAAAGTCCAACTCAACTCGCCGAGTTGACTCATCAACTCGCCGAATTACAATGTGTCCAGACTCATTGGGGAAAAACCCTAACCGATTCGTCGAGTCAGCTCACTGACTCGTCAAGTCTCTTTAGTCCGTTTTCTCATTCAAACGATCTTAGGCTGAAATAATGTCTCGTACTCTGGATCTAACCTGCTAAGGCTCATTTATCACGTAAAGCTGCAAGATTTATGTTCATGCATGACATCTAGAGCTCAAAATGCCAAAACAAGCTCCATAAAGGGTTTCATGCATGGAGACTTGCCCAAAGCTGGGAAAAGCTTGGATCTTTGGGCTCATAGGACCTCAATATGTCCAGATTTGGAGTCTCAACTCCATGACAAGCTCATAACACTCTAGAACTCCAAGAAGGATGGGAAAAGGCTCTAAATTCCTTAAAACGAGATCTAACCAAAACAATGAGCAAGTTGGTGACTTTTTACCTTCAAACAAAAGCTAGGAATGAATGAACACCAGATCCAAAAGCTCCTTGTCATCCAAAGTCTTTTGCTCTTCAACTTTCCTCCAAGAATGCAACAAAACACACTATGTTAACCCCGCTTTCTCACATACAAGGTTATAGCTCGATTAGGGTTTCACATAGTGTAGGAGGGTGACAAGGGTGGCAGAAATGAGGGCTTAAGGTCCTTTAAATAGGACACAAAACCGGAAAAATAGGGTTTCCTCACTCAACTCCTACTTGTCGATTCGGGGTCCTTCGACTCACCGAGTAGACTCAAAAAATCCCGCAGCCATAATATTCTCTACTCGGCGAGTTGGTGCTTCCAACTCGTCGAGTTGCCCTCTCAAAATGAATAAAACAATTTAAATTGTATACCTAGGAGTCGGGATGTTACGATTCTCCCCCACTAGAATCAGACTTCGCCCTCGAAGTTATCTTTCAGAAACAACTCGAGGTGTTGCTCTCTTATCTCAGATTTCGGCTCCCAAGTCCACTCGGATCCCTTCTGATGCTGCCACTGAACCTGGACTAAGGGCGCCTCTTTATTCCTCAGGACCTTCACCTTCCGATCCGAGATCATTATCGGCCTCTCAATGTAGTTTAGGATCGCATCTATGTGAATTTCCTCTAAAGGGACCACTATTGTCTCATCGGCTACACACTTCCTCAGTTGAGATGCGTGGAAGGTGTTATGAATCTGTAACATCCAAAAAATACAACCAATTTAAATTTTTCAAAACAACCCGATTTTCATTAAAATGTTTACAAAAAGGTTTCCAATACAAATTATTAGAGTATTCCCAGAATCACATTGCTACAAAATCATGAGGAACGGTACGATCGCGCCTTCGCCTTGCCACGGTCTCCTGAAGAACCTGAAAAACATTAAAACACAACTGTAAGCCCGAAAGCTTAGTGAGATACCCCCAAGATACCAACCACGCATACGCCCTTCCAGGCTGCGACCTTCCGGTCCAAAACATACAAAACATACATAACATAACAAAACATAGAACAACCATACATATCGGGTCAACTGTGTGATTGGTCCGCCGTATCGGGCCTTCAGTCCACCAGATCCATCCTCCAGGTCTAGTCATGTCCTTTGAGTCTACAGTGGGGTTGGTCCGCCCGCATCGGGCCTTCAACCCACCTGGTCCACTCTCTGAGTCTACAGTGTGACTGGTCCGCCCGCATCGGGCCTTCAGTCGGCCTGGTCCACTCTCCGAGCCTCGGCACGTCTGGTCCACCCTCGTGGGGCCTATAGCCTATCCGGACCGCTCGCTGGGCCTTCGGAACAACCGGTCCGCCCTGGGTATCTTGGCCTACAGCACAAAGCAGGACCCGCCTCAACCCATCTCCAGTCCAAACAACCATGTGCACAAAACATACATTCATATAACAGTCATAGACAGCAAACCGAGCAAGCAGGTCACATAGTGTCACACCCCCGAACCAGACGGCGGAAACGTCCGGGGGCTGTTGTGACTCAATTGAATACCATCACAATGAATATACATGAAACATAACATCATACATCACCAAGCATTGGAATAATACAACTGGTAGCGTCTACATCCATTACATTGTCTCAAACTATTACATGCCCAAAAAAATAAATTGATCATTGTTACTTAAACAACCGCAAAACATCATAGAGTACAATCCTTTCTTCACTTTATCTGTTACCTGAGAATACAAGTATTTTGGAAAAACGTCAACATATGAAATGTTGGTGAGTTCATAAGTAATGTTTGAAATCCAATGTTTGTATTGTTTTGAAAACCACCAGAAAATCCGATATTTTCTGAAAATAGTATAGTGTAAAAACATGTGAAGATCCACAAGTATGTTTGTTTGTTTTCTATAGGTGTATGCGTATGATATGTAAAACTCGGTACGTAGTTCGTAGGTGTATTAGTTGAAAACCCTAGGAAAACCCGACGTTTTCCTATTTCTTTGCTTCAATTAGATTATGTGTTGTTGTTTCGTTACATCAGAGGTATTCGTTGAGCTCCGGAGGCGTTGAGTATACAGTGGGTTGTGAATTGTTGTAACGTACGTTAATGAAAAGGTTCAGTTGACAACCGTACTAGCGATCCCTTAGGCGTCACTCGCACTTATTCACACAACTCAATCCTCCCGGACTTGTGTAGTCCCACGACCGAAGAGAAAAAGAGAAGGTGCGAAACCCTCGGTATTTCCCTACGTCGTTCAAGACCATTGCAATTGCGAAGGGCCCGAAGCCCAAACCCGCAATCGTGAGTTCCCGATTTTACTAGCAGCACCGAAGGACCCTTGGGGACCAGCAGCACGTTTGCCATTGAAAGTCCTTTTACACGCGGTTAAGTCGTATTAGACCTAACTACATGTAAGCAAGTATCCTTTGGGCCTAAAGATCATGTCATTGGGCTAGCTAGGCTCAACAAGCATGATTTGCAACTTTTGGGCCTAAGGAATGTACGTCGACGTATTGAGTAATTCCACGAGAGTATAGAGTTCCGAGAGTTCCATATGTGTATTGAGCGTTGTAGTGTTAGTAGTTTTGGATTTGTTATTGATTCGAGACCGAATCAATTCGTTTAACAACGATTTTTGGTATTGTTGTGTATTGTGTCGGCAGTCGCGGTGCCAATATTTGATCAAGTTGTGCGTATTGAATTAGCCTTGAAAGTTTTCTGTTTTCAGCCCCTCATTGTTTGTAAAATTTACTTTTTCAACCCTCTAATTAAATAACTTTCCGGTTTGGTCCTTAAATCATTTTTCTTGACATTTTAACACCAAAAATTATTGAAATTAATATTTTTCAGCATATTTTTCATTGAAAACAGTTTAAGTCCCTGAAATTGCAGTTTTCTCGGTTATAACCCCTCTTTTTCGCAGTTTTTACAATTTTGGCCCCAATTGGAAATTTTTTGCAACTTTGGTCCTTTTTAAATTTGAAAAGCATTTTAAACCTTTGAAAAGTACTTGTAACACTAGTAGTCCACTGTTTTACAGAAAAACACAGTTTTGGCCCTCCAAAACAGAAAATTTCGCATAATGGGCCCTATTGGGCCGAAATTGTCATTTTTAGCCCATTAAGCTTGAAATTTATGTTTTTAATCCTCCAAAAGAGTATATTTTCAGAAAATACATTAGGGAAACTGTTTTGACTCATCTCACCCATCAGATTTCGAAATATTTCATTTTGGGCCCTTCAACTTTCTATTTTTAACATTTTATGTCTAAAAAATGAGTTTTTAGCCCAAAGTATGTATTGTTAAGCCACTTAGCTATTTTTCTTGGTATACTTTGTATGTATTAGTATGTTTTATGTTAGTATCATTTAACATAAAGTATATCTCGGTTTTTAGTGATTTATGACTAGATCCATCATCATAATCATACCAAACACACATATAAGCATAGAAATCA